GGAAAAAAAAAAAAAAAAAAAAAAAAAAAAAAAAAAAAAAAAAAACACCAAAAATCAAAATGAAATACATCAAAATGTTTATAACAATTAACTGTGGATGATTTTATTTTCTCTATTCTTTGCTATAGCTCCTAAATATTATACAATGAGCACGTACTGTTTTATAACCAGAAAAATCAATAAGTATTATTGTATTTTAAATATGATAGGACAATTTTAGGAATGGAAAAAGAGTTCATAATAAAAAGACTTTTAGAAGGACCGGAGTGTCGTGACATGACATATCCTCAAACCACTTCCTCATATTTTTTTTGTTTGTTTTGAAAAATTTCTCTCGATTCAAAAAGAAAAGTTAAACCTGCTAAAAGCAATGAGGAAGTTCAATACCATTCCAAATCTGACTACTTCAACTTCTAAATGGTAGGGAACTGCTCCCATTTCTTAGTTAACCGCTAAAACGGTAGGAAACCAAATGATTGTTCTCACGAAACTTTTTTTTTAGAAAGGGGAGAAGTGAATCATTATAAAGTAATTTCAGCATTTCTATCACAGTAAAACAACTTAATTTTAGTAACTGTCTTACTTTATTATGTTTTTGCTAATAACACTAAAACTATTCACTTACTGAGCATACTACAATTAGGGTTTCTTTTTTTTTAAGTAATGTAAGCCATAAATATGCATAAAATAGAACTGGATGACTGAAACTGCATCCTGAAGTGCTTCAGGGCTAATTCTTGTATCTCACCACCCTTCTCAGATCACCCAGCCTCCCCCACACTCCATTCAACCTGCAGCCCACCACCCCTCGACTCACTAAGACTAAGCAACGTCCCTTGATCCAGAGCTTGCTTTCCTTCCTGGTTGAATAGCCACTAGGGGGCGCTGAGAGCCCGTGAGGACAGAGACCTCCCTCCTCAGCTCAACAACCTGGAAGTCACCCATGGGAACTGTATTCTTCTGGGAGTGAGTGTGAACTAGCATCTCCAAAATCTCCAGGAAGCCGCAGCATAAACTGTACAAGCCACTGTTTTCATTAACTCTGGAACAACTTCAGTTCGGTAAAATAAAACCCTGTCATCCTCAACCAACTTTGCCAGCCACATAGCAATGATTTCAGGTATGAGTGAAATCTTATAAGTATAAAACAAGAAAATTTTTTCTCTTGCAACAGATCAACCTCAAATCGGAAAGAGAGGTGACTGATGTAGGTACTGCCCAAAATTTGCATGTTCTTTTTACTTAATGCAGGGGGGAGGGGAAGGTCTTAAAAGTAATATAATTTTAAAATTTCTCCCACAAAACACCATGTTAACAAATACAAGGTTTTCGTTTCTCTCTGTTCCTTTCCAGTCCCTATTCACAACGCATAGAATCTTATCAATACTAAAATCATAACTGATATATAATTTCATTCCAAATCACAAAATTTTAGAACCAAATCAAATCTTAGAGACCGAAGACCAACCAATCCCCTCCTCATTTACAAATGGGGAAACTGAGTCCTGGCTAGAATCTCATAACAACACTATGACGTAAGCTCTGTTATTTTCCCAATTTTAAAGATGAGAATAGCAAATCCGGAGAGGTTAAGATACTTTCTCAAGGTCACATAGCCAGAAAGTGGTAGACCTGGGATTCACATAGACTGTCTGGCTCACTGCCTGGCAGAACTGGACTCACACTCGGGATTCCAGAATCCTAATCCAGGATTCCTTCTGCTTCTCAAGATGAAATTATTCTACTATTCACTCCAGGAAATTTTATTTGTTTGTTTAATCTGTAACACTTAGTAACATTCCACTCTCTAAATTAGGTTTTACAGAGCTCTCCGCGAAGGAAGATCGTGCATACCTGCTCCCCAGTGGGAAGAGAAAAAACGTCTGCTGAGGTCTGAGTTCTTTCCCCAAGTGAAGCATAGTAAGCCAGAGCTGCCTCCTGATGCCGCTCAGGGTCATCTTCCAAAATATCCACCGGGTAATTGCCTGCTAGGGGTAAAAGGCAAGAAATGACATTAGTTTTACTCTTTCATTTTTGGGAAAGTCATTTATTTCTTAAAGATATAAAAATAAAAATCCGAATTGAACACTTGCTTTAAAAATTACGTTCACCTATCTTTTAAAAAAGCAAGCTAGCAGTGCAGCAGGAAAAACCCAAGAAATAGATGGCATTCCCAGTAGCAGGGTTGGCACTATCCCTAAGGAGATTAAATGCGAGCCCTCTTAAACGGTCACAGAAATTTTGTTTCATACACCCAAACTACCGAATAATTTCCCAAGTACTTTCAGTAGAGTCAGCACAGTGGCCACGAAGACAAGCAGGTACCAAGAGAGCTGAGAACCACTGGTTAGGACCTTGACAACTGTCAAAATCCAGCTTGACTTATTATTCTGCAGCTTACATTCGCCATGCAAGTTCACAAGATTTCGCCACTTCCTCCCTTCATTGGGCTACTTTTTTGTAAGAGACTCTACGAGCACTGGCTTGTATGAATTATAAAACTACATGCCCATACATAGACCATTGTCCATGTTAATTTGCAAGTTATTCTCCAACTCTTCCTCAGCATCTCTTTTCTATCATCACACTCCTGGAAGAAAATTATATCCATCAATAATCATACAAATTGATAGCATCCAAATTCAGCTTGGAAGCAGCAGTTGGCTACCCCCTCTGCATTGACCACGGATGCTGGCTGGTCTCTGGCTTCCACGTCCCCAAGTGGGGAGGAGGTCCTGTCCCCCTTCTGAGGACCCCACCTCTGCCTCTGATTCACCTCTGGGCCTCCTACTGGGGAGGAGATCACCCTAGCAGCTGTCTCCTGCTGCTGATCCTCCTCCTCCCCCCCCACCCCAACCTTCTCAAGAAAGATAAACACCCACTTTAAGCCCCTTGTGGAACATCAGCGTCCCACCCTCCTCTCAGAAGCACCGTTCCTCCTGCCAGCCACTTTTTGGAAAATAGAGATTGCTGCTAGCAGCAAAGAGCCTCAAGTCTTCAGTGCACGAAGTTAGCCCAGGACGAATTTTATTGCTGTCGATTAGTTACTGGAGGAAAGGCTCATAGTTTTGGAGAATGTCAAGAAAAGCAGTGTGCAGCCTTTGCACAAGCCCATCCCCTACACACAGAGGGGTAAAGAGCTGAGTAAATACATCTTCCACTATTCAAGTCTTCTAAGTATTTGAACGTGAAATTCACCCAAAAAATTACTACTACAAAATGCGCTGATACAAATATTCCAAAAAAAGACAAGAAGAATTAACAGTTCATTTAGTAGCGATGAGTAAGTCAACGATGAACTTTGGGATCTCCATCTAAAAAAGATTGAGTATATAGCCAAGACATTCTGCTGCAGAAGGCACACTGGGGAGGGGGGGGGGGTCCTCTCCACACACACACACACACACACACACACACACACTCTCTCTCTCTCTCTCTCTCTCTCTCTCTCTCTCTCTCTCTCTCTCTCTCTCTCAAGGAAGCCTGGACTCCTCTTCACCAAGATGAGCTAGGAAGCCCCAGCCACGGATCACACATTAGGACTCCAGGCTGACCCTGCAGGTCTTCCTACTTCTTAAGCCACCCTTTTGGTGTACAGTTCAGGAGCCAGATGGAGCCAAGACGGTATCCTGAATCCTTAATCGGGACCACTTCAAATCTGCCACCAAGACCAAACAGCCTGCATCATCTCTCTCCAGTCATAATATCCCCCTTCACTTAGGGCCTCAGCAACACAGAACACTCTCCTGCCTCCCCCTCCCACTAATTAGAATAACAGCAGTTACCATTCTTTCAGCTCCAGATGCCAAGAAGCTCCTGCACACCCTTATCTCACTCAATCCTGCTGAACTCCAATTTACACATAAGGAAACTGAGGCCTCAAGGAGATAATACTTAGCTAGTAAGTGGCAGCACCAGGACGTGAACTCAGGTCTGTCTGATTTCAAAATGTGTGTAAAACACTCAGATTATGTTACTGACCCTATCAAAACAATCTCCTCTCTCAAGCCTCGAAAGCCTTTTACAATTCCAGGTCCCTTTCCCCTCCAGCACCCCATGTGTTTCTATACTCCCTCTCATCCTCAAGGTCCATCTCAAATGCAGCCACTCCTAGGAGCCTTCCCTGAACCCCAAGAGGCAAGGGCAAGGACTCAGGGGGTCGTTGAGTCTTCTGTTCGAATCCCAATGCAGCGTAAGATAGGAATTTGCATATGTTCACCACCTCCCCGGCCTGCAGGTCCTGTAACTCACACCTCAATTGTCCTCACAGCGGGTCACCCCGACCCATAAACATGAGCTCTCCTGGGGCATGCTGACGTCGGGGCAGCTTCTCTCCCCTGCCCGTTGTCCCCACGAACACCCCTCCCTATGCCTTTCCCATACTAAGCTCTTAGTAAATTTGGTTGGTTGTTCCACTGAGCTCTCCCACGAGACTGTTATTCACTTCGTCTACTGGCCAAGTGGCTTCCCACAGGTATAAAAAAATGTTTCGTAAACGTTCAAAGAAAAACAAACTGGAAAGAGTGCTGCTTCAACCCTGGGCACCCACTCCCGCTGCACGCCTCTCCCACAGAAACCAGCTTCCATAGCTACCAACACCAGCTGTAAGGCGCTAGCAGAGACCCCACCTCCATCTGCAGTCTGTTGCTGTCCCGGTTTTGGAAAAGATGTCTGTCGAACCTGGACCAGCCACCCAGTCCAGTGAGGGTGTGAGGCTGTCGTTACAGCATTACTCCCCAGCCCGGTAAAGACACTGATCTTGGCCCTAGCGAATTCCCCTCCTGTCAGGAAGAGTGGGAAGACACTGTGGTCACCCTTGTTTGCAGGGAGAGGGCATCTCACCCAAGGCCACCAGGCTAGAGACCTGGCTGCTCCAGGGGCCCAGAAAGGTTCCTGCCTGACTCCTGCAGGCTGCCAAGGGTTGCCTGGCATCCTTTCTGGTAGTATGTGGTCAGGAGAAATGCATTCAATGTGTTTTGCTCCCTTCACACCATGAAATCACTTCCCCGCAGGTTACGCTGCTGGAGCTGGAGACCCCCTCAAAGAATTCCGGGGTCAGTGTCCCCAGGACACCCGCTGCCCCCTGCTATAGTGCTGGCCGCCCTAAGGGGCCGCAGGGGCGGGTCCCTGTGGGTTTTCTCAGCAGGAATTCACCAGAATCAACAGACACTGCTCAGCCCGACGATCGTGAGTGGGGCTGCATCACAGGGGAGCTCCGAAACTGGGGCGATCTTAATGCTCAGAAGCTTGGGTCCCTTTCAGAGACTCCAGCAGGTGCAGACCCCTGCGCCCCGTGGAAGGAGCGCCACTGAGCGGGGCGCCGGGGCGGCCCCTCAACCTGCCTGGAGGACACGAGGCCGCAGCTCCGCTCCGCCCCGCGGCCGCGACCCCCCAGCCTTTCCGGTTCGAATTCATTGTCTGCCCCCTGTGGGAACCTTCCCATCCGAAGAGCTCGCACCTTCCCTCTTACGCAGAAAATGTTTGCGTTAGCTTCCTGGAGAACCGGGTGCGAGTGAAAGCAGGAGCTGCTTAAGGCGGAAGAGGGGAGGGGGCATGTAACGCCCACCAGAGAGGAAGACCCCCGACCCCGCTAACCCGGAAGAAAGGAAGACCCTCTTCTTCCCAACCCAGGAGGAAGAAAGACCCCCCTCCGCAACCCAAGAAGAGAGAAGACCCCCTCCTCAACCCCAGGAGAAAGAAACCCCTCTCACCACCCAGGAGGAAGACCCCCGTTCCTCAATCCAGAAAGCGCGCGCACACCCCCCCACCCCCATACACCCCCAGACGCCCCGGGGGGCAGCCCCACCCCGCCTCGCGCAGAGCCTCCCACCCCCCACACCGCCAGGCCGCGCTTAGGCAGTAAACAAGTCCGGGGCGTTTTACGCAGGCGCCGAGGCCGGGCCACTGGCTTCGCGGGTGACGGAAGGCAGGCGCGGATACGGGCTTCCAGATGTGCAATGCTAACGGGCTTTAATGGCTTGAACTGAACAGGAAATATTTTTCCAAAGCCAAAAGAATGTAATCTTTTCAGTGCAAGGAAAAAGGCGTACGGTTGAAATGCTAATTCACTGCAGACTGTAAAGAAACTGAAATTCCCCAGGAATCCCCAGATTTAATAATTGACTTTAAGCACATGTTGGCATAATCTCCCTAAAAACAGAGATAATGGTACGTCTTAAAGCACTCTTCTAGGGAACATACTTAAATCATTGAGGATTGTCGTCCCTGAGCTCAAGTGCCAATCAGTGTTGTCCACACTCCCCCAAGCTGCTACCTGGCCACCACCACTGCTGGTCAGTCAAGCAAGGCCTAATGTTCCAGGCCTTCTCCAGCACTTTTTTGGGCCTTCTGATGTAAACAGCAATGCCAATTAATGAAGACCTTGAAAGGGATCAATATTCTGCACTTAATCATTGATTCAGGATATTCTCCCCAAATACTAGCTCACCACAAACATTAGAAAAATTCATTTTGGCAAAGTGTAGTTTTTCTCATATGGGACTATTATTAAACGGAACGTTAATGAAGATATTTAAAATTTTACTAGCCCTGCTCTTAAGAATCTGGACTTTGCTGAAAGCCACTATCTGGCAGTAACTACAGGGCATTATGTCATTGGAAAAGCTGGCTGTAATCACTTGATTTTTCAGTAATGTGGGTTGTTATTCTTCAATTACAGTAAGAACAATTCTTGCTCAGGATAACGTGAAAAAACTTTTCAGGATACAAAAGTATAAAGTAGTACTCAACTCTTGCTTTTAAAAAATGGTTAAGAGTAGATAATCACTTGTACAGAATCTTTATGTTTGCTTTTCTTTATTTTTCACATAGGTAGTCTGTTTTGGGGGATTTTTTTTTTTTTCTTCACAAATCAGTTTTGTTCTAAAAGGAACTCTATAGAAGGAAACTTTATTAGTGAAGAAATCTGCCAACAGGGGTTAAATGACTAATTCTGAGCTTA